GGGGGGTTTTGTTCCCCCAGCCCCTGAGCTAGCAGGCGCGAGGCCAGAGCCCAGAAAGCCTGGTTCCGTCCAGCCTGAAGGCTGAGCAGCTCCCCTCCAGAATTCCCCACTGGGAGTGGGCCAGCGTGCGCACACGGCTCAGTCACCTGTTTTCTGCGGCTCCCCGATCTGTTCCGAGTGCAAAGAACTCAAAACCTCGCACGACAACACGCCCCCAGCCTACGCTCAGAGCGCTGCCTTCCCCCTCCCTCCCAAGGCCAGCCCCCAGGACAGGCTTTCACGCATGTCCGTTCCGGTCCCCGGGAGGCAGGCAGGGGGCTCAGCTCCCAGTGCGGAAAGCCAAGCCAGCCCCTTCCCACCTCTGGTGCGCAGGTAAAGGGCACTGCTCCAGCGCTGGGGAACACCCCGCGGCCACAGGTCCAATGGGCCAGCGACGCGCTGGCTGCACCCGCACCTGGGACAGGCCCGAGACATGGGCTGCCCAATCCTGGAGGCCCTCATGGCCTTGCTCATGCTTTTAGGGACTCGTGGGAGGAGGCACAAGCCAGCCCCTTCCCACCTCTGGTGCGCAGGTAAAGGGCACTGCTCCAGCGCTGGGGAACACCCCGCGGCCACAGGTCCAATGGGCCAGCGACGCGCTGGCTGCACCCGCACCTGGGACAGGCCCGAGACATGGGCTGCCCAATCCTGGAGGCCCTCATGGCCTTGCTCATGCTTTTAGGGACTCGTGGGAGGAGGCAGAGGCCGGGTGGGCAGTCTCTGCAGAGCGGGAGCCAGGCCTGGCGGCTGCTAACACACAAGGAGGAGGGGAAATAAGATCCAGCCCCCTTCCTGGCAGCTCAGGCCCGCTGCGCCAGGCCTGGCGGCTGCTAACACACAAGGAGGAGGGGAAATAAGATCCAGCCCCCTTCCTGGCAGCTCAGGCCCGCTGCGCGGTGAACCGTGGCTCCTCGCGGCGGCGAGCCACCGGGCGCCCGGCCCTACAAGGCCTTGGGCCTGGCGTTCAGGCGGACGATCTCCTTGTAGTCCCTGACGAACTTCCGCAGCCGGTCCATGTAGGGGTTGACGTTCTCCTCCATCCACTCCTCCACCGTGTCGGGGAAGGAGAGGCTCTACCGCTGG